AAAAAAAAAAGGAAAAAAAAATCCTCTAATTTTGGGAAGAGCTACAGAAGTATCATGGGCCACGAACTTCCTGAGAGGAGGGCAAGAGCAGAATTCTTTCAACATGGTTGGAAGGCAAAGAGGGTTTTTCCAGGTTTGTGGGAGTTGTTTTGTATTCGTCCAGTTAGTTAGTCGTCTGGAAAAGAAATGTGGTTAAAATAGTTGAAGTTGCAGCACTGGCAGGTGACACCACGGCTCTTTTCCTAATAAACAAGAAGGGCTGTGAGGAACTGCAAAGAATTAAATGATTTACATGAATGGACATCACAGTGATCAAATCTGGTGTTCATAAACACCAAGTAAAGCATGAAGAGGGAAAAATAGCTATTTTGCACGCTGGAGATTCCAAGTGAACTTGAGAGCCGTGTCGAAAAGCTCAGTGGAAGTTCTCCTAAATGTGATATTTCCAGTCGAAATCACCAGTGGGTTGTTGTGATGCGTACAGGGCTGGAATGGTTAAAAAATAAACAAAGAGATGATTCTGTGTATCAGTTTGTACCTCATTTATGAATCTGTACATAACATTTCACCTTATTCAAAATAGTTGTTGCGTAGCCAATACTGTTTGACATTAGAAGAAAGATAAATAAGAAGGAATGCAAATTTTAAATGTCAAATAATGAGTAAGGTAGGAGCGCTTGGGTAAGTCTAGATGGGTGGCAGATTTGATTCAATGTATTGTTTTTCAGTATACTGGTGCCTGGACTCTGTTAAACTCTAGCATATGGCAGGGGGGAGAAGAGCTGATTTTCATGTTGATTTTTTGAATTTCCTGAGATGTAGGACACATGTTGATCCAGTTACAGATTCTAATACGGTCAGTGCAAAAAATTACCACCAGTTTAGCACAAATATGTCTAGCTGTAAGCAGTTATTCTGTAATAAATACTTAACTGTGACTTGAAAATTCAAGTCTGAATTCACCTCAGTGTTGTCCCAGAAAGGGGTGGCCTGTGCCAAGCGGAAGCATGTGGAGGCTGTGATGAGACTTACCTCTCCCTGCTGTTCCTTTTGACTTCTGGCTGGAAGTGGAAAATGGCAGCTGTGTTTTTGTCCGGAATTAAAGAATCAGAATTTTTTAGCTGTTCCATATCCCACAGCTAGTGCGTCAGTTACCTCTTTCTTTGTTTACCTCAGGACAATGAAATGGTGAGGGAATGCTCTATCGCCATACGCTTACCTAAATCAGGGCCCTTCTAAATATAGGGATCCATTTCTTCTTGCAGGGCGTTTGCCCAAGGGAGTCTTGTTTTCCATTGAATGGTGTACAGTGATCTCCAAAGCAGAGGAGAAGCAATCTGTTTCTATTTATCCAGAAGTCTGGGTCAATTTTAATGGTTGAGATTGTGGACAAGACATTAGAATTCCAGCCTGGTGGGCCCTCAGAGGTGATGATTTGAGGTGGCTGATGTTTCACAATGGTCCTTTTCCACTGCAAGGGTTTTGCTTCTATTTTCTTCCCTTTTTAATTCCCAGATTTAACTGATGCATGAGGACACAGTGGCCGAGGACATACCTGTTCTGCGTTGGTTTCGAAGGACAGTATCTGTCAGGGAGAATAAATTAGCATATACATTCCTTTTCTAGAAAATGTCAGATGGCGCTTTGGCCAGCCAGAGCTTGGTACACTAAAACGCTGCCAAACTTTTATCGCTTACGATGCAGAAGATCAGTTGTCTGAACCTTTTTTTGGTTAGCGAGTTCACTGTGTCTTGATATTTGTACGTACATGTAAAAGCTGCAGGTGATGTTAGGAAGAAACAACCGTTCTTACACTTGATTACCAAATCCTTTAGTGAGAGGGTGTAAAACTCTACTCTGATGTTTCCTCAGGAAAATGAACTGTTTTACTTTAAAATTCGGGACATTTTCTATGTTTTCTGTTAGAAGCTGTATGATTCTTTTTTTCTTTGTTTTTACCCTTCTCCTGTGCTCTGGAGCTTTTCAGACTCTCAACAATGGCTTGGGTTGCCCAGCTTGTTTGGATTACAAAAGGTTATTGTCTTTAGGTCTGTCATAATGTATTTGGGCTCTTTTTTTTTCTTTTCTTTTTTTTTTCATGTGAAGTTTCCACACTGGCTTTGTCTCAACAGCCCACAGTGGCAGCAGAGCTGCCAAGTTTCCCCACAGCATTAGGACAACCGCTGATCCAGCAATGTGTACCGCATCACTAGTCCAGGCTGCCTGTAACTGCTTTGAGACCAGCCATTCCCTTCTCCCTCCGACCCTCCCACTCTTTCTCCTTTCTCTGCATTGGCAGTTAGGATGAGAAATCTGCTGTTTTAAAAGTATCGAAAATAAATCCCCCTTAGGTGGAAGCTGACTGTTAGCTGCCCCTCCTGCACCCTCGCCCCACGTGTGTTGTGGTTGAGCAACCATTGCAAAACGCATACTGTAGCTGGCAAGGCATCTTAAGAGCTGTGTCTGCTGCTGAACAAGCCTCTGAGCTGTCTCAAGCCATAATTTGCTGGCAGACATCTGTGTTACTGACAGTCTTTCACAGCTGGGTCTCTGGGATGAGGTTTTCAGGCCCATGGCTTGCAGAGGTTAAACTCCTATCGGAGAGAGGGTAGTTCTGGTGGCTGACAAGTCCTGGCAACAGAAGCATCAGGGAAGGCTCAGTGGCCACGTAAGCAAAGTGCTGCCAGCGCTGAAAAAGGGTGTGGGTAGCCCGAGGTGGAAATATATGGGGGGAAAAAAAAGCAGGGCTGAAGATAACTGCTCCTTTAAAGGACTGCACAGAATTAGTACTCTCTGTCTCTGCCTTTTGGTTAAAAATTAAGACACGGTTGGTCAGATTTTCTTTACTTGTGGGTAAATCCACTGTGAATGTGAGCAATTTTGAAGTACTTTGCTCTGACTCTATCCTAGGCACCTTCTCAAAACCTGTTTTTCTGGCTTACTGTGTCCCTAACTAGCACAGTGGCTTCTTCCAGGGTTCCCCTCTCGGCCTCCCGCGGGGCCAGAGGGGCCGTGCAGCGCTGAGCTTAACCGAAGGCATCCAGAAGGCACTACCAACTGGCTTCAGCATTTGTGGTTTCAGAATTAATTTTGTTGCTCCTCCTTGGAACGCAAACTGGCCTTTCTGCTGCTCACACTGAAGTGGAATTCTTTAAATGCTTGTTTTTGTATCAGAGCTTTAGCTTTATTGTTTGATTTTAGGGTGGCAAAAGAGATCTACATAACAAGCCCATTTTTTTTACCTGATTTGTTGATGGGTTCCTTTGCCCTCCAGAGTTAAGCTGCGTCCCATCAAAAACCATCTGAGCTGGTGTGGTACCGGCTGAAGGCCCGGACGGCGGCGAGCAGGGGAATCGGGCGCTGCCGCTGAGTGTGGCGGATGTGTCCATCGAGGGGCTGCTGTGGCACACGGTTAGCTGCCTGAGGGTCAGCCCGTGCCAGGGAATCGCCCGCCCGCGTAATTTATTCCAAAGCAGAGAGGCTGGTGCCCTGGGGCGCACGCTAAGCAAAACCCATTTTATTCTAGAGTCAATATTGTCCACTGCCTGGAAAGCCGCCAGCCTGCTCTGCGCTCGCCCTTTTCTTTCCAACAGGGAACGTCTTTCAGCCTCTAAGCATCTGATTAAAAAGCAACTTCACTTTTCAAGCCGTTTTATTTTGTTTGGGATGGATGCCTTTTGCTTTCATTGTGCAGCCTGCCTTGCCGTCTGCGGTTCAGACTCTGGCTCACAAAAACCAGGCTCTCATTAATCATTTGTTGGGGATCCAGAATACCCCGGTGAGAGCCAATGTACATGTTTTGCTTGGTAATGCGCGAG